AAGTTTATTTTGCATTTACAGTTTTCAATCCCATTCTCATTCTTAACCATCCATTTCTATTTTCTATGCATGGCAAACATATCTTTCAATTAAAATATGAAATATTTCATCGTATATAAACATCTTATCATCAAAATTAATTCAATTATTGCTAACCATGTAACGAATGTGTCAATACTGATATTAACATAGCTTTTGCAACAGAATCGATCAATGATTAAATGTTGTGAAGTGATTTCGAAGCATAATTCATCAACAATCGGAATCCAATATGAGTGTATGTATTGCTTTTCTAACAAACCTGTTGATTTAGATGCATAGAGTTTGATGAAATGGCTGAATGATTTTTTTAATCCAAATGCCACATTTGTGGTTTATTGTTTTTTTCTTTTTTTTTATACTGCAGTTACTGATTTCATATATTATGATTTTTTAGTGATTTCATAGATTATGTCTTCTCATATATATGGGATCTCAATTCTTTTACCGATAATCTAAAATTCATGTTAACTGGCATTAAATACTCCTAATTTTCTATTAATTTTTAGGTCGTTGTTTCTATTTTTTTCTTCATTGCACATAACTCTTTTGATTAATATACGCCAACTTAAACAATCCATTATATTCACCACTAACCACTGTAGTGGTGGGTATCACATCATCACCACACTCTATACTACTAATCATAAGTTTCCTACCAGTAAACACGCCACTCAATCTTATTTTTTTATTTGAATTTAATTCAAAAATACATTAAAACACAATAAAACATATTTTTTATTTAAATTTAATTCACAAACACAATAAAACATATTTTTTTTAAATTAGTTTTTATTCAATGAAACAAAGATTACATTAATTTAAAACACACAATATAAAATAATAATAATAATAATAATAATAATAATAATAACAACATAAAAATGCGATCACAAACAATGTAAACTAGTTTTTAAACCTTATTTTTATTGACTAAAATTTGGGGACTCTCTCAATTTCGTCAACCTTTGACGTGTTTAAACGGTGTGTGTTTCGTGTCTTCATATCGGTGCATGGCCACAGCAAACGGGTCGTCTTCGTCTACGTTGTTTATAACAAAGTTATAAATTTTATTAAATTCAAGGCATTTAACCCTCATGTCGCGAAACTTCGAACAGATTTCATCAAGACTACGACTTTGGCAACCCATTAAATCATGAAAAACGTTTCCAACTTTTACCGAAAAATTAGGAGGCATTTTGTGTCTTCTGAAACAGCTATACATGTTAATGCTAAGTTCTCTTCTCCATTATCTGACCAATTCATCCTTTTAGGAGTTATTGGTTTTGATTTATCAAACAAAAAAAGTGTGTGATTGTGAGAAGAAGAGAAAAGAATTATGCAAGTAAAATGAGTGAATAAGTGTGGTATTTATAAAAGAGGTTGAATATTGTTTGAAAGGTAAAGTTAAAAAAAAAAAAGATTTTAAATCCTAAATATGGTCGTTACTCAACGGCCAATCAAATTGGTCGTTTCCATTCGTTGTCCTAACCACGAACGCTCACGGCCACCAACCACCATGAGTCACCAGGATGGTGTACACGGTCGTGGTTTGTGGTCACCTAGACCACAAACTCGTCTGGTGCAACCATACCAAACAGCCTTAAAGGCAATAAATCAAAGTTAAGACACATTAAAATTTAAACCAAAAAAATGGACACCAACAATGTGGACAGAACGAAAAGCCGAAACTAGTATTCACAATCACAGTCACCACCTAAAGATACCACCTTTCTAAGAGTTCAAACATAAGTTACTTGTAATAAGAAAAAAGAATAAAGTATAAGACAATTAATTTAAATCACAAACAACTAATATCTTAAAAATGTGAAATCACTATTAATTAACAATAAATATCTTAAAATTGTGAAATTTCACCATTTTTCGAAGTTAAACATAACAAAAAACCAACACTTTTGTCTTCTAGAATTTTAACATTCTTTCATCCATGAAACTTGTTTTAATTTTATTATTTAATATATTAATAATTAATAATTACAATTGTATATAGTATATGCGGTGCGGTGCGGGTTTTTTTTGCAATTTTTGAAACTGATAGCCACACCGCACCGCAAATTTACGATTTTTGAAAAACTGAAAACTTCACAATTTGTTTTATTGCAGTTGTGGTTTATCAGTTACGGTTTATGCAGTTTTTACGGTTAATTTTAATTGTTGTGCGGTTTTTGATCACCCATACCTACAATGTATTGAACTCTATAAAATTAAAGAGAGTATTACAAAAGCTAATATATATATATATATATATATATTATATATATATATATATATATATATATATATATATATATATATACTAACTATTGTGTACCAGAATGCATAGATCTGGACCACCGGATGAATAGAATCAACAATCATGATCTGAGGGTCTATGATATTACAATAGGTTGGCATGTATCATATAATCACACAAATTTCAGCAAAATGGTATTTTGGTCAATTAACTTATTTTAAAAAAAGAAATTTTCGGAATTTAAGGGATCATTAATTCCCTTATTTTTTAAAAATATGAATTTTTTAAATTAATTCTAATTAAATTTTAATATTACTTTTAATAATAATCAATTTTATTATGTCAAAATGACAAAAAATAAACAATAAACTAGTAAATATATTTTCGGTTTTATTCTTGCAGACTATTGTTTCATTCAATATACTTTTTATATTAAACATGCTTAAAGAATTATACAACATATTATCAAGAATAACATTTTCTAAAGAATACGGATTTTATTTCTTTAAGAATCACTATTTACATTCATCCGTAAAGAAAAATACTATAAACAATTATTACAATCTATCTAAGCATTACACTTATTCTTAAAGATTAAAACTAAAAATGGTTAAAAAGAAAAAAAAAACATAAAAATCTAACAAAAACACTACTCTATTCAAAAAGAATATTATTATTAAGAAACAATTAATAAATTCTGACAGGATACATTTTGTTAGAATACAATATCGTTCTCCATGTTTTCTTCATTTTACACATTAATGACAACCTCTTCAAAACCTAAATTCACAAGGAAAACATAATCAACTTTTAAATATTAAAAAATTTAGTGCATTAAATAGAATAAAACAATAAATTCTAATCGAATGCGATATACATTCAAATAGAAAATAACTATAATTTCTACAAACCAACATTAACAATCATCCCTAAATTTACAATGTATATTATTCTAAAAGAATATAATGTTTCATTATTTAGGATGTCATTCTATAAGAATCGAGACCAATAACAAGAATGGAAACCAATTTTATTCTGACAGAATTGGTTACGGTAATTCACTGTTTAAGTTAACAAGGAATTCAAGATTCTATTCTGACAAAATTAGAATTTGATATTCCATTCTAGCAGAATGATCGACATTAAGATGCATTAAAAAAAACCTAACAATCTAAATGAAAAAAAAAAAGACTAATGCATAAACATATATACTTATCTGTTGGTTAAAAAATTGATGATTGTTTTCCAAAATCAAAATCAAAAAGCAATTCGATGTAAAATCTATTTTCAGGATTGAGGTAAATAATTTCTACAGTTAAACACAAGTTACTACGTCACATAAACAATCTTTTGTTTTCCAGTTACAAAATACCTAGATTTCAACCATGCATTTTATCGAACACGTGATGTACTTCTTCAGTTTCTTCAAAAAAATTAGTGAGTCTTACCAATTCAATCATCATCTGCATCCATCAAGTAGTCTTTATGATGGTAATACATAAAGGAAAAACCAAAAAACACCAAAAGAATATATCGTACAGAAGGAATAAGGAATAATCGTTTGCAGAAAATGAAAAGGGTCGAATCTCTATGGAGGGTGTGCATACAGAACCTGATATTGGAAATTGGAAGAAGGAAAATTAGGTTAAACAAACATCTAATTACCTGGACATCATCTAATTACCCCGGTTGTGCTTTAAACCTGATGAACAGCGGTACCTCCGATTTCAATTGTGTTGCAAGCAACCTCCAATCTGAATCCAAAATAAAATTGAATAGAGAAAGAAGAAACCTGCAAAAGCGTCTCACCTGAATCCCCTCTTCGTATGCAAGTATTTGCAAAAGACCCAAAACAAATTAGAAACAATGGGAAAGCAAAATGTAGCTAGATTCGAGGTTAACAAAGAGATACACGAATCAATTGAGACACACATATAAGATGGAAAGAAGTACGTAAAGATGAATTCCCAAAAAAGAGAAAAAGAATCGGCTATGGTTTTTTTCAACAAATTTTGACTTTGACATCCCATATTTAAAGGAATAATAAACAACATATTAATTATCTACCATAATTAAATATGCAAAGATTCCTATAATACTCTTAAATGATTTATTTAATTATTTATTTTTTCCTAAATTCTTATTAGTTATTCATGAACACAATAGTTACTATAAACATTTGATCTCTCTCTCTCTCTCTCTCTCTCTCTCTCTCTCTCTCTCTCTCTCACACACACACACACACTCATTGTATTTAATATATTAGCCATTATTTTGTACCTACAATCAAGGGATATTCTATAAATATTGTAAACTAGTTTACAACCCGTGGGAATCACGGTTATAAAATTAATTAAACATTAATAGTTAAAATTTAAAATTATTAATAACTTATTTTAAATAAATTATTAATTAAAAGGTTTTTTATTTATATAAAATTATAATCATTGATTTAGATAAATATATAAAAATATATCACTTTATAATTTGTATTAATGTTATTTTAATTTTTATTCTAATGTTGTTAATTTAATGTAATTAGAATGAGAAATTTGAAATTTGAAATTTGAAATGGAGAATACAAATGGTATGCGTTAATTATGAGACATAATAAGGTGAAATATGACAAGAAAAATAAAATTTTCATTAATTATGAAGTTTAATATTGTGACACATGTCAAAAGGAGAATAAAACTACTCTTTTATTAGAATAGGGATTGGCTAATACGGTTTCTATCTAATTGAAAACTAACAAACAAGAAAGCCAGTCGAAGAGTATTAGTCGATCGACAATGGCATCAAGAACATCGAATATGTAACGTCTCAAATATATGATCTAAAATTTTCATTTTTAATTTAGATAAAACAGTATTCCAAAAACATTATCCCTACAACTCAAAAGAAAATAAGTATCTCGACATCATAACAATCAGAGTGATATCTCAAAAGCAGAATCCATGTCGTGTGCACGATGTAGTCAATCTGAGTTATTCCCCTTGAAACCGAAAGTACCTAAAACATAAACTGAAACCGTAAGCACAAAGCTTAGTGAGTTCCCCAAACTACCCCAACACCAATACATAATAAATCACATACTGGCCCCCCGCCCTACATCGGGCCTCATCCGGCATCAGGCCTCGCTCGGTTTACGGATCTGTTATTCTCAAGCCTCGCCTATTATTGGGCCCCACCCACAATACATATACTATATATATATATATATATATATATATATATATATATATATATATATATATATATATATATCACATAATCATGATAACACATATAATGATCATAAAACAATAGCATATGTTCCAGTCATCAGGAATTGCCCGACATCGAGCCCCACCTGATATACATAGCACTACATAACACATGCAAGGGTCACGCAGACTCCTAGCATAATCAATAAGGGTCGACATTGGTATCTTAAACCCGCTAAAACTAGTGGGGAAACTCACCTTGAACGCTGAATCTCAATGAAAGAAATCCCTAGCTGCTGCCTTAACGAATCCCCGAGCTATCAATATAAAATAGCACCCAATTAACACTTGGGTTCCAATCTATATCCAATAATCCATACTTGGGGTAAAATAACCATTTTACCCCTGACCTAGTTTGGACCAAGACTGAGGCCCAGACCCACGAACCAAATGTTCCTCCAAGGCCCACATATATTGGGCCCAAACCTTATTTGGACCTTACCCTAAGGCCCAATAATTTTCCCTAGTACAAACTCTCAGCCCAAAGCTTGATTTCAAATGGACTACTAAGGCCTAAAGCAATAAGGTCCAAAGAAATGACCCATCATTATTAAAACCATCCATCATCAAAACTCAAAAGACTTAATATAATGCAATTTGGAATAAAAAACTTACCACAGATAGAAAGAACCTAAGACTATAATCGTCAAAACTCATAGTTGGAGTGGACTTTCGGACAACAATCCTTCAAAACCAAAACAAAATTCAATTAGAGCCATTATATTTTCATATTATATGCACACTCATTAACCACATGGTTTTACTTTTACCATGTCTATGCATGGCTCCATGGAGATCAAATTAACAACTCAAGGGTAACTAAGTTAATATGCATAGCTGTCTTTTTAAATTTGGATTACTCTTTTGATAACAAGTTAATTGAGTGCACAACTTCACCATTAAAGTTGATGAAGAATTTACCTTGAATCTTGGATGGTAAATATTCTTTTGATAACAAGTTAAGTGAGTGAACAGATAATGCTTCAATCTCAAACTTGACTCCATTTTTCAGCAGCAACTCTAGTTCCAACCTAATTACCACAAAGAAAACAATATATGAATTTTGAAAGGCTTATTATTCGCAAAGCTATAGAGACAAAGAACACCATCAACCTCCACTTTGGCACTAGTCTTTGCAAATAACATCGATTCAAAATTGCCTCTGTTTTCACCTTATCTGATAACAAACAAACAGTTTTCAAATTTTTTTTAAAAAAAAATGTAAGAGAAAGGGAGACTGATGAATAATGATCACACCTTGGGGTGTCATAGGGAGGAGACATTGTTGTGGAAAATTATATTTCTCTACATCTGATGGAAATACTCCAAGCCACTTAATCTCAGGAAGCCTTAGTATTTTTGCATCATATGCCATTTGCTTCAAGATAGAAAACTTATTAATATTATTATTTTTGACATGAAAATTAAATATGATTGTTACAATGAAATTACCATTGAGCCAAAGCGATATGTGGTTAAGATGTCAAAGCCATATGGATCACAATCAACCAAACAATAAGCTGGCAATTGCAGCTGTTGGATTAGTAGCCTCAAGAACCTGATTCAGAAATACATTAATTGCTATAATAATTTATGGATAAAAAAGGGAAAACCTACAAATAACTGAATCTTTTACCTTCTTGTTGGAATATCAGGATAACCTCTTCCCTGTAGAACTACAGTTAGTTAGTGGCTCTGATTCCTCTGGAGATTTTCAAGGGATGACAACACACTTACAGTGATGACAATGCAACGATTACTCTTGCAAAAACAATCATTTGCCAATCTTTGGAATACTGTATAGTGGAAAGTGTAAAAAAAAAAAAGCATGTATCAAAATTTCAAAAAGCAACAAAGTCTTCTTGTTATTTGCTAAAGAAAGAATTACACCTCTCACCTGATTCCTTCTCCACAACTAGTATATAGTCTGCAACACTCATTATATCTATACACAACAAGAACAAAAAGATATATCACTTATCATTGTTGAATGTTGATACATAGATAGATAAATAGATAGATAGATATATGATGGTTTTATGTGATTGAATAAAACACACACACACACACCTTTTACTTCTTCTACATGTACTGGAATAGAGTGTGCCTGACATATAATAAACCAGTCAACTTCTATCTTAATATATATATATATATATATATATATATATATATATATATATATAACATTTTCTTTCTTACATGATCAGGGTGGCTTAGGCAATTGATTATCCTATCAGCTTCAGAGAATCTCAACCATCCCATCACCAATCTGAAAACTACTTCACTCAAATTTTGAAGTAAAAATGATATTAATGATTTTAAACTACTCACCCTTTTGAAACAGAGACCTACAGAGGAAGGAGAAGAAAGGGGAATTAGACTAACATGTTCCTTGTGAATTGTGATAATGCAAACTCATAGATATACTTTTACAGATATGAAAAAAGATGAAAAGACAAAAATACATACAACATTTAGGTTGTGGCGACTGCACTGAAGAAGGATGCAGATGTCATTAATGGCTCGGTCTACAATGGATTGTTCTGGTATTGTATGGTATAATATATTAAGGGATTAGATTAATCTTGAAATGTCAAGTGTCAAAGAAGAAACACGTATGCAATTGAAAAATAGTTTGCATATAAACACATTTTATCTATAGATTAAGATGGCATGAATCATGATACAATTTGGTATACAATCAGTGCTATAAAGATTCAACTTCACCTTGAAACACAGAAGGATGCATGTAATAAATGTCTCTTTTTGACCCATGTCTATTCTCTTGCAAAAGTTGTTGAACAATAAGTAGCACGCGCAATAAAATATCTGTGAGAAGAACAATTTTAGAAATTTGTTGAAATTAAAGCAATTTGAATGCAAAATTTGTTACATTGGCCAAATGTACTCACCCAACCTACGTGCATGGCACTCCCTTTGTAGTGTGAGAATTTCCACTCCCTTAATTGAGTCATGGCTGCAATAGCTGCAAACATAAGGGATCATTGCTTCAATATGTATTATGAACTTTTTCTTTCATCACTCTCTTGTTAATTGTGCATTTGTTCCATTTTTTCACACATATCGCCAAAACATCAGTTGAACAACTGTAAATGATCAAGCAAGCTTATAGCTCATCATCCTTTTCACCAGAAAACTTGACAGTTTCTGCCTTTCTGGATCCCAAAACTAACAATAGAGTTCCATTAATTCGCCTCAAAGTACCACAAGAACTATAAAGTAATACAATCAGTCGTTCTCTACAGATGAATAAGTTACCAGTTTCCTGAAACATATTTCTGTTTGTATAAGACAAGTCACAGAGTAAAAGAGACCATACAATTGTGTCTAGAGATTCACATAGTAAAGGAAAAGCCATGTTATGTTGAAGCATATTTCTATAAACCATTTGAATCTTCCGCTCTTTTAGAATCCCTACGAAAATTAGGACAAAGAATGGGATTCACATCCATCATCAGAGTTTGAAAAAATTTAGACTGGTTCTCAATGTCTGGATTTTTGAAATATAACACAAAGTAGTTCGTGATTTACTGAGTGACTGAGTAGTCCTAACTCGTGAGACTTTTGAAATTGGGAGAACGAACGTTACTAACCAGTTTCCAGAAGTATCAGTGCAGTAATTACGGAAACGATGAATGTAAATCACCGGAGAACGACCAAGAGAAAGATCTTCAACAATAGAACGAATAAAATCTGCATATGCACGTCGGTGTTCGTCCGGCGTATACAAATTGCAAGGAATAGTATCAAAATCATCGTGGAGAATGGTTGTAGATCATTAAATATAAGAAAATTTAGCAAACTTGAATGCATCTTACCTCTTATCTTCTGCAATAAATGGTTGGATCGTGAACTCGAACGTTTTCCCTCTATTTTGTTTTCCATGATCTTCTGCAATAAATCCGGGCGTTTGAATTTGGAATGTAAAAGATGGTAACTTCTTTCAATATATACAAAAATATTAAGAAACTACGTTTATAAAGTAAAACAATTTAGAAACTTTATAGGCATAATAATTAATTGTAAATTTGCAAATTCTTTTTTATTGTCATAGAAAAAATATAAATAGAGATAGTGGAACTTATTTCCTTTTGAAAACATATCTTTTTTTCAAAGAAAATAATACGTCAAACACACATTCGACTTTTGTTGGATGTGTATACATAAATTTTTACATAAAGGACGTCATTTTTTTTTACCATTTTACTATTCTCATATGTGCATAGATAGGGATGATTTTTCTTTAGTTGAAACATAAATAAAAAAATGTTCTCAAATATCTTCTTGTTAATATGTTTTGTGTTTCATTCCATATTTAGTGGTGCCTTTTGTATTTTCCTTTTTTGAAAATTCTTGTATTTTTCTTATAAAAACATGACATGAAAATAAAAGTATATTGAGGTTCTTCAACTTTTTTTTTGCCACATTGTTGATAAGAACTCCAAGACATATTCTTGCTCTGTTCCAACCTCCAAAGCTACAGTAGTCATCTTTGTTGATAAAATAAGACCTAGGGTAGCAAAGTCTTCCAACCCTATGATGAACACAGTTAATGAAGGCAACTACAATGGTGGTTGCCAAGATTATAAATAGAGACTTCATTCATCAGTTGAGAGGCATCCCAAACACAAAGAAACAGATAGTATAACACTTAGAGTGAGAGTGTTAGTGAGAGGGTTGGTTCTTTGTAATAGTTGAGTGTAAGAGTTGTTCTTCCTATTGTAATTCTATTTTAGTGTTTAATAGAAGAGTTTTCCATTCCCAGCAACTGGTATCAGAGCTTGGTTTGGTGTCCATGGATTTTTTTTCACGAATTTCTCTGTTTTTTCGTCATTTTTTGTCTCAAAATCGATTTCCGGATACACCATAGAAAGGTCTCGTTTCAAGGATTTCGAAAATATATTTTTTGTAATTTTTTGACCACGGGAAGACCTCCAAAACGCCGGTCAAAGTTGGTCAAATCTTGCCGAAAAACCAGGTGGCCGGAGAAGACTGCTGGAGATGAAGAAGTGACGTCATCATTGACCAGACTTTCAGAAAATTACAGTTTAGCCCCTGAAGTTCCAGAAAATTACACATAGGTCCCTCTGTTTCTAAAAAAATGTAGTTCAGTCCCTGTTGTTCTGAAAATAACTGTTTTGGTCCCTGGAGTTCTGAAAAGTTTTAGAAAGGTCCCTGGTTTGCAGAAACGTTTCAGATTTGCCCCTGTAAGTTCCGAAAATTACAGTAGCCCCTATAATTCTGAAAAGTTATAAATAAGCACATAACTTTTCAAGAAAGTATATTTTGATCCCGGAAAATTCTACCCCACCATTTTTTACGCTTCTAAATCCAACTGAGAGCTCAATTTTATCTAATTTTTCCTCGAAATATTTGTAAAATAAATTTGCAATTATTTTCGATGGAATCTACAAGTATGATTACGATGGTTCGACTTACGCCTACAAATTACAACATGTGGAAGCCAAGGATGGAAGATTTGCTTAATCTGAAAGATTTAGCAGAGCCTATAGAAAAGCAAGGCATCAAACCTGACACAAAGAAAGACGAAGTTTGGACGAGAATAAACAAGAAAACGATGGCACAAATTCGATAGTGGATCGACCATAGTGTTTTTCATCATGTCTCTCAAGAGACAGATGCGTACAAACTTTGGGAGAAGCTCGAGAATGTGTATCAAGAAAAGACTGCAAGCAACAAGACCTTGTTGATGTGGCGCCTTGTAAACCACAAGTTACGAAGTGGTATGTCCATAACCGAGCATACGAGTTAGTTCCAGGATCTCGTAAACCAACTCGGTGCTGCTGATTGGGTTCTCAAAGACGAGGAACTAACCATATTGCTCTTAAGTTCTCTACCAGATAATTAGGAGACAGTTGTTGTGACTCTCAGCAATTCTGCCCCCGGTGGTAAAGTGACAATGGAGATGGTCACATATGCCCTAATGAACGAGGAAGCAAGAAGGAAAGAAGCTGGTACAAATAAGTCTTTTTCCCTTGTGTCAGAAAACAAAGAAAGAGGCGAGGGCAGAACTGGAGGCTGAGGTCAAGGTAGAGGTAGAGGCAGACATAGTCAAAGTAGAGGAAGATCCCAAGATCGTGGGAAATCACGAGATCGAGGGAAATCGTGAGAGCGAGGTAAATCTTCAAATACATGGTTCGAAGGCTATTGCAATCATTATAATTATTATGTCCACAAAAGGAGTGATTGCCAAAGGTTCTTACCAGAGCAGCCCGAGACAAGTCATAATCCAAGCAGGGAGAATGGTGAAACCATGGTCACCATAGCACAAGACGTTGCCCTTGTTACATACGAGGAGGAAGCATGCCTACATGTTGGAACTCATGATGATGAGTGGGTGATTGATGGCGCTGCATCATATCATTCGACTCCAAACTGGGATTTATTCACTACTTATAAATCTAGAGACCATGGTACCGTAAAGATGGGAAACACTAGTTTCTCAAGCATTGATGGTATTGGTGATGTGCATTTAAAGACAAATGTTGGATGCACATTGGTGCTGAAAGATGTTCAACATGTCCCAGAGCTGAGAATGAATCTTATCTCAGTTGGAGCTCTTGACGTCCAAGGATATGATAATCAATTCAAAAATGGTACCTGGAAGTTGTTAAAAGGTGTTATGGTTGTTGCAAGGGGAAAACTTGATGGTACTCTTTATAAAAGCCATGCAAAGCTACTTCAGCGAAGTCTCAATGCTGTTGAAGAAGAGGCATCACCAAACTTGTGGCATAGAAGACTAGGCCACATGAACAAGAAAGGATTGACGAATCTTGCAAAGAAGGAGTCCATTTCAATGGCAAAAGATGTTGCTCTGGATCCCTGTGAATACTGCCTATTTGGGAAACAACATAGAGTTTCCTTTAGCTCCACAAGAAAGAACCACTCTGAGTTGCTGAGCCTTGTCCACTCCGACGTATGTGGACCCATTGAAGTAGAATCTCTTGGTGGAAGTCGGTATTTTGTGACATTCATTAATGATGCATCACGAAAGGTATGTGCATACTGTTTGAGAACGAAAGACCAAGTATTGGACCGCTTCAAAGCTTTTCATACAATGATGGAAAGACAAACAGGAAAGAAGTTAAAATGTCTCCGATCAGATAATAGAGGTGAGTATTATTCTCGTGAGTTCTCTAAATACTGCACTGAACATGGTATCAGACATGAAAAGACTGTCCCACGAACCCCACAACACAATGGTGTAGCAGAACGGATGAATCACACTATTGTTGAGAAAGTTCGATGCATGCTCAACATGACTAAAGTCCAAAGCCATTTTGGGGTGAAGTTGTATTAATAGCTTGCTATCTAATAAATAGGTCACCTTCCATTCCACTGAATTTTGAAGTTCCTGAGAAGATATGGACGGGTAAAGACATATCATATTCTCACTTAAGAGTATTTGGGTGCAAGGCGTTTTCACATGTATCAAGTGAATTACGGAAGAAGTTGGACCTCAAATCCACTCCATGCATATTTATTGGATATGGAGATGAAGAGTACGGGTACAGACTATGGGACCCAGAACTAAAGAAGGTTATTTGAAGCAGAGATGTGTTTTTTTATGAAAACCAATATTACAATTTCAAGACATCGATTAACGAGCAACCAGGATCCAGAGTTTCAAAAATAACATCTAAAAATATAGAAGATGTTTCCGCTGAAGAAGTCGATGAAGAAGTCGATGATGCAAATCAAGAAGGTGTTGAGCAGGGGGAGCTTCCACCCCTGGATAATTCAGATCCACTGGCAGAAGTTGGAAATGAAGAAACTCAATTTCGACGATCCAAACGAGTCCATGCTCCATCAAGAAGATATCAGACTTCAAACTACATCCTTCTTACTAGTGAGGGGGAGCCAAAGAGCTTTCAAGAAGCTCAATCTCATATTGACAAAGCAAATTGGTAGAAGGCCATGGAAGAAGAAATGAATTCTTTGAAGAAGAATTAAACATATGAGTTGGTGAAACTCCCCAAAGGAAAGAAAGCCTTGAAAAACAAGTGGGTTTTTAAACTGGAGAAAGAGTGAAAGGGAAATACTATGAAGTATAAGGCGAGACTTGTTGTCAAAGGTTTCCAACAAAAAGAAGGAATCGACTTTGATGAAATTTTTTCACCTGTTGTGAAGATGATGTCTATTCGAGTTGTACTCAGATTAGTTGTCAGTCTAGATCTTGAACTTGAGCAGATGGATGTGAAAACAGTCTTTCTCCATGGTGATATGGATGAAGAAATATACATGGAGCAGCCCGATGGCTTTAAAGTCCCGAAGAAAGAGCATCTCGTTTGCAAATTAAAGAAGAGCCTTTATGGACTTAAGCAAGCCCCAAGGCAGTGGTACAAGAAGTTTGATTCATTTATGATGAATCATGAGTATAAGAGAACTGTTGCAGACCACTGTGTCTATCTGAAGAAGTTTCCAGATGGGAAATTTGTCATCCTTTTGCTCTACGTAGATGATATGTTGACAGTGGGCCAAGATGCAACGATGATCAACAACTTGAAGAAGGATTTGTCTAAGTTCTTTGATATGAGAGGCTTAGGCCCAGCACAACAGATATTGGGCATGAAAATTATCTGTGATAGAAAATCAAGAAAATTGTTCTTATCACAAGAAGAGTATGTTGAACGTGTGATCAAAACGTTCAACATGGAAAATGCCAAGCCCGTTGGTATGGCCTTGGCTAATCACTTCAAGTTGAGTAAGAAAAATTGTCCATCTACCGAGAAAGAAAAAGAAGAGATGAAGGCAGTCCCCTATTCCTTAGCCGTAGGAAGTCTTATGTATGCAATGGTGTGTCCAAGACTAGATATTACTCATGTTGTCGGTGTTGTGAGTAGATATCTATATAATTCGGGAAAACAACATTGGGAAGCAGTCAAATGGATACTTCGATACTTGAATGGTAGTTCGAAACTATGTATATGCTACGGGGGAGCAAAGCCAATCGTGGAAGGTTATACAGATGCCGATATGGCATGAGATCTTGATAATAGGAAATCTACATCAAGTTACATTTTCACTTTGGCAGGGGGAGCTATCTCGTGGCAATCCAAGTTACAGAAGTGTGTCACATTGTCAACAACAGAAGCCGAGTATATTGTTGCCATTGAAGCTGGGAAGGAGCTTATATGGATGAAACGGTTTCTTCAAGAATTAGGTTTTCCACAAGAAGAGTACATCATTCATTGCGATAGTCAGAGTGATATGGACCTGAGTAAGAACTCGATGTACCATTCCCGCACAAAACATATTGATATCCGTTATCACTGGCTTAGAGAAGCAATTGAGGGACGGGAATCGAAGTTGTTAAAGATCAACACCAACAACAATCATGCAGACATGCTAACAAAAGTGGTGACACAAGAGAAACACAAACTATATGCTGACATAGTTGGGATGAGGATTATTGGACGGAGACTGGAGGGGGAGATTTGTTGTGTTCCAGCCTCCAAAGCCTCTAAAGCTACAGTAGTCATCTTTGTTGACAAAATGAGACCTAGGGTGGCAAAGTCTTCCAACCCTATGATGAACACAGTTAATGAAGGCAACTACAATGGCGGTTGCCAAGACTATAAATAGATACTTCATTCTTCAGTTGAGAGACATCCCAAACACAGAGAAACAAATAGTATAACACTTAGAGTGAGAGTGTTAGTGAGAAGGTTGGTTTTTTGTAATAGTTGAGTGTGAGAGTTGATCCTCCTATTGTAATTCTATTTTAGTGTTTAATAGAAGAGTTTTCCAATCCCAACAATTCTTACATCAAAACCATATATTTTTATACCTAAAACTGTGAAAAAAAAAAACTTTAATAAAGTTTTAACTAAGTAAAACAGAACAATGACACAAATGATAATCAACATCTTAGGTTTTGTAGTGGCTTGGACGATGGTTTTGAGCAAAGGCTTCTATTATCTGCGGTCAGATGTTGAGCAAGATGTTGACATGCCTAGCCTAACTAAGCACAAACATATAAGAATAAACACAATTGTTGGCTTAAAAATTAGTATAGTCTCTATTCCAAGCAGAATAGAATATAAGAAGAAACATATTTCAACTTCTTGAACAAACCTAAACTTGGAATTTCAATTTTAAACTTCTTGAACAAACCTAAACTTGGAATTTCATTATGTTTCACTGTTAAATTTCCAACTTAATAACAACTTACTTTAATCCTACATAGTGGTTAATGAGTTAATCCTACATTCAATGCATATTCCATAAACACTCAAGAAACAATGAACATTAATTCATGGATCGTAGGTGAGAATACGTACACGAACAGAACATGAAGTAAAATGAAAAACTAAAAAGTGATAAAAACAATTCTAACCTATGGTACGCTCCTTTTTTAATACCTAGAGTCAAAGACTTTCTTTGACCATGCATTTTTTTTGGAACTGCTCTGACCTTGCACTTATTTTCCAAAAAACCTTTTTCTTTTATTTAATATCATATTTTTAGTCCTTTGACTAATAGTAAGTCAACTAAACCTACATGGGTAAAATAAAAGAATTGAAGGAAAGCACAATAATTATTTGATGAGTTTTTGAAGTTATTGGACTAACTCATTTTTGGGCATATGTAGTGATAAGAGAGTTAAGTATATACAATAATAAAAAGTTATATGTCATAAATCGATAAAAAAAAAATGAATATTCATTTCCAAGTTGAATAATTCAAGAGCTTGCTTGAGTTTTATACAACATACATTGAAGGGTTATGTGCAAGAAATAGAAGCACCACTGAATTGAAACTTCTTATTTTCCAACCTTCACACATTTTAGCCTTCTTGCTGCAATTTCATCCCTAAAATTATAAATAAATTCATAACTTTTTTCTTGAAAAACACGGACTTTCTTCGCCTCAGTCCATGAAAAAAGGTTAGAAAGTTTAAATCTTGAAAACTAAGAGAATATCCTAAACCTTAATTTGAATGTAATTCATGGAGATATGTACTGAAGATGGAGACGATTAATATCAAAGCTTGGTTTTAATATTAATTTTAAGCAGGACCGATCCAGATAGTGGGCAACCCGGGCGACCGCCCAGGGCCCACGACTTCAGGGGGGCCAAAATTTATGGGCTATGTAGTTTATATATATATATATATATATATATATATATATATATATATATATATATATATATATATATATATATATATATATACCTAAATGATTTTTAGGACCTAAACTTAGTTGAAGCTCAATTTAGTTCAAAATATAAACAATTTAGTTTGCTTTTTATTTCTAATTGAAAACGTCTATATTGAAAAGTAATTATATTTTTTTGAATCTTTATTATATTTGTATTTGAGGGGCCTTTTTTTCTTTTCTCTCCGGGCCACATATATGTTTGGACCGGTCCTGATTTTAAGATTAAGATGTTAAGATTAAAGCTTGAAATGGTTTAAAGAATATTTTCAAACCCAAGACTTCACATATATAAAATATATTAGGTGTGAAGCCGGTGTATTACACGGGTTTATAAAAAAAAGTTTAATATAAAATTATAACCATTACATATTTTTTAAAGTAATAATTTTACATAAATACAAAAAATATAATAAATAAAGTAAGTAATTTAATATATAATATAATATATTTGAAATGTTGTAAGGCATTTATTATGAATTTAATAGAATCATCTACTTTACATATATAAATTTTACTAAAATGTGGATTTTAAATTTAAGAAAATGCATAATACAAGAAAATAACAACTGGACAAAAAATAACTCAAAAACTTTTAGAAAATGATATGTGTCAAATTCAATAAAAACATGACATTTGATAAAACTGATTTTCATTTATTATGTTAGATATGATATTAAAGCTTGGTTTTGATTAATTAAAGATGAAGACGGTAAAAGTTGGGAGGGGGTAAGAATCTATAGTTTAATTTTTTTTAATTAAAATTTAAAATATGTGTATAATATATTAAAGGGGATTAGATATGCATTTGATTTTAATTGTTTACTTTGTTAGATATGTTTTATGAATTCTTTTACATTTGGTTTTATGACATTTATTTTATTATATATTTTTTTAATTATAATTGTTTACTTTGGTTTTTCTTGTTTACTTTGTTAGGTATATCAGCCAAAATATTGGGTATGTTATTGTTTATTTCTATTTTAATATTATGTTCGTGTTTATCATTCAATGAGTATACACATGTAAATACCTAATATTGACATGGTATATATTCATATATATGCATAACAAAAATACATGGAAATTATTAGTTATATTCATATGTATGCATAACAAAAATACATGGAAATTATTAGTTATATTCATATATATGCATAACAAAAATACATGGAAATTATTAGTTATATAGACATGCAATCTACATAACAATAATACATGCATATATACATACCAGATACACAAAAGGTTTTTCACTAACTCAAATTTTCATATGTAAAAAGGGTAAAACACTAGAATTGTATTCTACCCATTCAAGGAGTTCGACACGAAAATAAAAGAGATTGGGTTGAATTTCTCTGACCCGACAACTGTTTATTATACAGATCATGTTCAGGTTTAAATAATTCCATGGGGGACTCTTGAACCCATTTATTTTATTAAACTAAAAAAATGTAAAAGAATGTTTATTAAATAAAAGAGAAAGTAAGGACTAATAAATAAATATGTGATATATAAACTTTTTTCTCGTAACCCACAACCCCATATAATTAAAACAGATTACACGAGTCATGTTTGGACAGTTTATCCAAATTAGGGTTGAGAAAGACAAAACAAATATTTATATAGATCAAATCCAGATCATATTTGCTACACACCAACCCAAACACAACATGATTATGATCCCTAATTCTACCATGTCTTTATAGAAAGGAAAAAATAAGTAAGAAAACAAAAAAGGAAAGGAAAAGAAAGAAAAACTTAAGAATTTGGAAGAAAAAGCAAAGAAAACTTATAAATTTATAACTACGCCATGACTCAATATATATATATATGAAAACTAAAAAGTACGAAGCATATAAAAAAACCAATCCACACAGTTGCATGCACATTAGCCATTGTTTGGTTTAGTCTAAAAGTAAAATATGTTTGATGATATAACACCATAATGTGTGTGTACATAATAACATAACCAATTAAGCTAATGAATCTACCAACTACAATCAAACAATACAAGTTACATTTCACTTGTCAACTATTGCTGTTGTACTTAAAATTACAAAACCTACAAATAATAATCAACACAATTAATCATTCATTCTACACATACACTTTCAACACAACACCTACCATGGTTTCAAAGGTTCTACATATCACACTTTTCACATGTAACCATTGAGTCCCCATTTTATATTATTGGTGTACTAACCATTTCATGTAAAATACTTGTTTGTTTTCTCATCTTAATCCTCCATACCCCCCCCCCCCCCCCCCCCCCCCTCCCTCTAAGATACACCAGAGTAGTCCATACATGCTACACAACTTATTTGCCTTCACCAGATTTCCCAACTCGAGCCTTCCACACACCCTGCACTCACAAAAATTAATCAATATTCTAAAAATGGGTATAGGGGTATTTTGGGAATATGAGAAAAGATAGATTGATTACAAGAGGTTCGTCGTCTGTGAATCCTGCCATGTCAGAATCATCATAAGCTGATGATTCTTTTCCATCTGGTGTTTGTACATCTGTTGACTCGCCACTTTCTTCTGAATCTGATCCATGTGTCTCACTAGGGGCAGAATCGTCATTTTTGGTTTCTTTCTGCACAGAACTAGGTTCGTTTTTATGAGAAGACATGGAATCATTTGAGCTGCTCTCTGCATCTCCTGTTGTTTGGTTCTCCTTGGATCTTGACTTTTCTAACTTGTCTGAATTCTCTGCACCTGCTGAACAAGTAAAGAAACACATTTCACAAAAAGACCAAAATACCCTCGTTCCATATTTACTCAAGAAACTTGGAGGATTCGTGCTGTACCTTCAACTGCATCCAAATTGTTGATTTTAGAGGATATGACATCAGGCATGGATGCATCAGGATCTTTGCTTCTGCGAATTTCCAAATATGCACTTCTTTGTGATACCCCTTTTTGCCCCTGGTTCAAATTCTGTCTTGGGGTTCTTTTGCCTCTTACCATAGATGATGGTGATCTACCATTACAACATATTTCCATAAATAAATTTTATAAAAAAAAATTAATCAAATTATGTAAATATTATATATCCTACTCACATGTCAGTTGATTCCTTTGTTTGCTTGGAGCTACCTGATGACTTAAGCTTCTTAGATGTTCTGGAAAATAGAAATGAAAAGGTTAAAAGACTTAAGAGCATGTGAGATCCTTAAATGTATCTTATTAACTAAAAATAAAATTAGTATTTGTTTTATTACAAGTTGAAACATGATATCATGAGTTGAAGGTTCAAATAGTGACTTACCCTTCTTTAGGGGGTGGACTATATGTCATGAGCTTCCTCTGTAAATGGGGTGAGTGAAACATCATTAGAAGTCAATCGTAGTGTTTGGTAGAATGGAATTAGGGAAGGAATGGAATGGAATGAAAAATGTTGTTTGTTTTAGCTGATGGAATGGAATAGACTGGTTTTGAAGGAATGTGATTCCTTTCATTTTGTTACTTTTCATATGAAAGTTCATTTTTTTTCTACAAGCCAACCAAACAAGATAATGGAATGTTATGATTCATTCCATTACCTTGTGCTTATTCCATTACTCTTTCCATTCCATTCCTTCCATCATTCCATTCCATCCAACCAAACAAACAAGGAATCATACCTCTGCAAGTTTATGCCCACTCTTAACAAGTTTCCACCTTTCCTTATCCAAACATAGCACTTCAATATCTCCATCATCATATAATACCTTCAACATGATACAATTGTTAGATATGATGTGAAAGCATAAACATCAAACCATTTAAATCAACTATTTTGACCACAGATTAACAAGTCAAATGAGACAAATTAACTCAAGAACAAGGAATCTCACCACATGTTTGTTGTTTTCCTGATCATAAGACTTCACTAAGCCCTCATAAAACCTGTAAATTATGCATTAATAACATTTCTTAAAGGAAAAAGTGATCACATTTTCATAATACTTTTTATTAAAAATCGAAAAAGAAACTTACTCCTTGTCCATAGGCCACCAAACTTTGATGCGTCTTCCAATCAAGTCTTTGGTTTTAAATTCGGTTGCATCCGTTGTGCACTAAGAAACAACATAAGAAAAAAAAATTAAAATTAAAATTGAACTTATAGTGAAAAGAAATAAAGATAAATAGTAGATTAAAAAGCCATTCTAACCTTCACTAATCGTGAAACCCTTCTTCGTTTTCGCTTCCTGAGATTCCCAGATTTCTGAGTATCCACAGGCGTTTTAGGCTTCTGCATAAGAGAAATAATAAGAATAAAAATACAGGGTTGTGAAAACTCAAAAAGACGTAAATACCCTCCTCACCAAAAGTGAAAAAAGGTTACCTCCAAATCAACTTCATCAGTAATCATGGCCTCTTCTTTATGTAAAACACCTCTATCCAAACTAACTTTATCTTCTGAATCACTGTGTCCATCATCATCATCCTCATCATCATCATCATCCATCTTATTACCGAAAGTGGGCCCACCCTTCATTCGACTGGTTATAAAAGATGACCTTTTATGCCCTTTTGCAGAAGTTGTTGACCTCCTACGCTTGGGTACAGGGACATTGGTTAGATCATCAGGGATTCCTTTCCTTTTCAAATCTGCTTCTGTTTTAATTTCACCATGCCCATTGCTTGAATCAAACTTTGCTGTTGATACAGATACAACCAAATTATCTGAATTTATTTCTCTCAACATTCCCATGATATCAACATTATTATTTTCAGTTTCAACAGTGGGTTTGGGTGTGGGTGTGGGTGTGGACCCGTTTTTCACTTCCTTTCTTGCCTTGGATCCTTTGGCTTTTAAACGTTTCAACACTTTTCCTAAAGGAATCTCGTTTCCATCTGTTTCACTATCCTTCATGATATCATCCTCATTGACTTTTGATGAAATCTGTTGAGAGATTTCAAGAATAATAATAATAATAATAAGTACACAAATGTTACCATCTTTTAGTATGTAATGTAAGCATTAGTAAACTTAACAACTTCTTCTGTAAATTTAATAACTTGTAGCAAATGAAATTTGGCAACATACTTTAAAATATCTATCCACTTATAGCATTGTACTCTCAATTTTTTTGAAAAATCTATCCAAGTTGAAATTATTTTGTATTTGGATGATATTGCTATAACTGGATAGATTTTTTTTTTTGAAGTAGAATGCTATAATAAGAAAAAGAAAATGAAAGTATGCTGCTGTAATAAACAGATGGATGAAAGTACATTGCTATTTCTTGCATTGAATCCAAAAGAAAAAGGACATAAGAACATACATTGCCATTAGCTTCCAAGATTAAGGACTCAAAGTGGGCAAAAACACTTTCATCAGCCAACCATGTCCGACCTTCTGTCACCTGTTGACATCATTAAATAATATACCAAATGAATTTGTATAGTTGTATGCATCAATATTTGCATAACAATCTGAAAAAAATCAACATTTCCTCTTTTGAACTATAAAAATAGGGAAAATAATCATAGAAACACTCACCTCTGTGTTAACCTCTTCTTTTTTCTCATCTTCTTCTATCTTCTCATCTTCTTTTGTCTTATCTTCTTTGTTGATTTCTTCTTTCTTCTCGTCTTCTATTTTCTTATATTCTTTGTTCTCATCATTTTTATCTTCTTCTATCTTCTGATCTTCTTTGTTGATGTTTTCTACTTTTTTCTCACCTTTATCATCTTCTTCCATCTTCTCATCTTCTTTGTTAATTTCTTTTTCTTTTTTCTCATGGTTGCTACCTTCTCCCATCTTCTCATCTTCTTTGTTAATTGCTTCTTCTTTTGTCTCATGTTTGCTACCTTCTTCCATCTTCTCATCTTCTTTTTTCTCTTCTTCTTTGTTAATTACTTCTTTTTTCTCATCTTTGCTATCTTCTTCCATTTTCTCATCTACTTTGTTAATTGCTTCTTCTTTTTTCTCATGTTTGCTACCTTCTTCCATCTTCTCATCTTCTTTGTTAATTTCTTCTTCTTTTTTCTCATCTTTGCTATCTTCTTCCATTTTCTCGTCTTCTTTTTTCTCATCTTCTTTGTTAATAACTTCCTCTTTTTTCTCATCTTTCTTATCTTCTTCCATCTTCTCATCTTCTTTACTAGTTTCCTCTTTTTTTTCATCTTCTTTGTTAATTTCTTCTTCTTTTTTCTCCTCTTTGTTATCTACTTCCATCTTCTCATCTTCTTTATTCTCTTCTTCTTTGTTACTTACCTCTTCTTTTTTCTCATCTTTATTATCTTCTTCCATCTTCTCATCTTCTTTGTTAATTGCTTCTTCCTTTTTCTCATCTTTGCTATCTTCTTCCATCTTCTCATCTTCTTGGTTAATCTCTTCTAGGTTAACTTCTTCTTCTTTCTCATCTTTGTTCTCTTCTTCCATCTTCTCATCTTCTTTGTTAATTTCTTCTTCCTTTTTCTCATCTTTGTTATTTTCTTCTATCTTCTCATCTTCTTTTTTCTCAGCTTTGCTAATTTCTTCTACCTTCTCATCTTCTTTGTTAACCTCTTCTATCTCATCTTCGTTGTTCTCATGTTCTTTTTCCTCTTCCTTTTTCTTGTGTGGTGTATACAGCTCATCAGGCAAAGTAAGAGGCACAACCGATTCATAAAGATCTTCATGTTTTTGCGCCAACCGTTTGATGATTATCAAGCAAAGATCACAGATTGCATATGAGTTCTGAAAATGCAAAAAAAAACTTTAGAAATCTATAATGAACACAATCTTTTTTTCTTGTAGGTGACTATTATTAGTATATCTATGTAAACATTTTAGTTAAGATATTGCCTTGAGTTACACATGACAACTACAACAACAAGGAATTCTACCTTTGACATGTTTGCATCTACAGCATCTTTTGAGAACTTGATAGTTCGAAGAACAGAAATTATCGAAATTACATCTTCCTGTTTTAGCCCTACTCCAGGTTTGCCACCTTCATTTCCTGCTGCTAATTTAGAAAAATATATATACAATTTCCTGTAGAAAAATATCAGAAAAAGAAACCATATTATCACTGTATCATCAAATTCTGAGTTTACTTGATTTCCAGCATGGTAAAGAATGCCATAGTTGCATTTACATGAATAGTTTAAAGAATCCCATTTGGAGCCCTAAATTACCTGAATATAGGTTCATATGCTTTGACATCTTTGCATTCATCAATGTTTGGACATGAAGGATGATGAGCAAGTGCATGAATCAAGTAGGGAAGAATGTACACCGAGGAATTCCCATTGGCCTTCTTCCATTGCTCACACATCTCAAGAATTTCACTAAGACTTTGATTTTCCTATCAAAGTTACAATTCCAGATATCAGTGAAGGATTCAAAGCAAGAAACAACAATGTTCTTTCATCCATAAGAAACTTGAAATGGATTCATCAAGGGTAACTTTAAAGTTTAAATTTTAAATACCTCTTCCCGAATAGGTTTCTGTGATCTGAAATCTAACAAGAAAGCACAAACATATTTGGGATCCAAACTCCTATTCTTTATGTACTGATGTACTTTTTTGAGAAATAGTTTCCTAACTTGAGGAAATCTAGCCTGTATGTATCATAAAAATAGGCAATCAGTAAGCAATTCAGGAAGATAAAAACAAACATAGCAATCTAGAGTATTTTTGTTTACCTCTGATGTTCTCAAGGTGAGGTGAAATAGATCAACTGGAATCTCTTTATCCCAATGTTTTGACAGACGAATAATTGCCTTAGCTGAAGCTAGCTTTAAATGGGCCTTATCAACAGAACTTGTGGAAATGAAACAAAAAGGTAATAACATTAAAAATGTGTGCTTACATAACATGGCAATGACATAAATATAACAAAAGATAACCTTGATTCCACATCTTTTGAGATTTCTCCAAAAGAAAGTATATTATGGAGATCTTTTAACAGTTCATCAATACCAACACGAAGATGTGCATCTTTCACAGGAAGATAGCTTTTCACCAGAGTTTTAATGCCAAATATCTACAACAAACGTTAGAAACTTCTAAGTTTAATTAAAGGGTAAAATTGTCCATTATAAAACACTAAATGTAGACTTTATGCCCAGTAAACAACCTTTAATGAACAAAGTCCGCTTTTGTTATCCCAAGATTTTTTCGCCTTATTTACTGGTTTCTGAACATCATGAAGCAAAATTCAACATTATTTTAAACATACCAAATAAGAAGATATAAGATAGCAAGTGGATTGTGTCTCATACATGATTGCAACTTAAGATATTTTTTCTAATAAATTCTTCGATTTTACTCTCTTGTGTTTCAAAAACCGGCATAGCAGTCTGTGCTATACACCCCAAAGACTGTAGCACAGAGGGCAAATTCGTCCTTTTCTCTAGCCCATTCACTAGTCGCTGCACATCATTTGAGAAAAATCAAACACAAATAAATCATCAAAGACATAAATAAACAAAGTCAAACATGACATATCATTATCAACTATCAAGTCAACCTTATATAGAACCGAAAGTGACTTGACCACATTATCTTTTGTTATAGCCACCAACGCATGTACAGCATACTTGGCCTGCTTCCTACTTCCTTCTAAACATATTCTTTCAAGTATAAGGTCTAATCTACTGCATAAAAGAATAAACAACAAATCAGATAGATAATTTAAATAATCATACAACAATTTATCATAAAGTCATTAGCAAAACCTAGATGAATCTCCCAATTGTTCACGAATCGTTTCACCAGTCTTTGCAAGAACATGCAAAACACCATCTTTGATTGCATCATCATCATAATCTTCTAGAAGATGCACCAAATCTTCTTCTATCCCACTTAGCAGCAAAGGACTGAAGCTTGAAAGGATCTGAAAATTCATCAGAAACATATATAAAGATGTTTACAAGAAGTAAAAAAAAAAAACAGGAAGTTATATGAAACAGCAGTAAATTGTAAGTTTTACCACAAGTAGATTCATGCAAGATTGAATTAACAATTTGTTCCCATCAGATTTCTGTTGTTCAGTCTCTAGAAGAAGATTTTTGACAAAGTCCTTGTCAAAGATTATGTATGAGCTTTTGATAAAAAGAGTGCTTAGAAGTTCATAAAGTGGATGCTTCTCATCAACTATCTTAAACAGCTCATCCTGCAAAACAATAAATTTGTTACCAATTTATCAAATTCACAAGAAAAAGCAATGTATTTGTTTATAATAGGATCCTACTTTTGTCTCTTTTTATTACAGTGTTGTAATTTCAATATCTTTTTCTTATTATGCAAAGAAATCAAAGTAGGATGATATAATAATCAAATCAATGAAAATTCGGTGTTGTTTCTTGCATTTTATATAATTATTTCAAGCTAGTTACTTACCCTAAGGCTCCTACTTTGAAGAGAACTAGTGTTGGGGTCCACTAATGTAGTCAAGATCTTCCATATGTTATCATCTTTTAACTGATTAAGAATCTGAAAATCTGCTTCTGTTTTTATGGGATCAGCTAAACAGTGGGACATGAAGCGGATACAAACTGTGGTTTTCTTCTGGAGCTCTGAAGCATCACTGTCCTGCAAATTCCAAAAGGGTATTTTTGACTTTTAGCAGCATACACTTTGCAAATTCTCCTGCCTCCTTTAGCAAGTTATGAATAACAAACCTTATATGTCTCCCTGATCGAAAGATACTTTTGCAACTCTAGTTGTAACCTGCAATCCAAGTGGAAATCACCTGAAAATTAGTGCAAAGATGTATTTTTAACAAACTAAAATAGGAAAAAAAGTAATCCCATTTGGAGTTACAAATATGCATAAATAAGGCATTCACAAACCTTTGCCTTTCCTCCAGTATCTTCTCTAAAGCATTCACCTCAACTTTATCAAATTTTGAAAATAGTTTGACCCAGTTTTTGACCTTATCTTTGACCGAAAGCTCAACTGGGAAGAGGGATGAGGATAGAATGTGCTCAATTGTGTTTGGTCTGGAAATCAAAAAAATTCAGAGGTCAAAAACCGTAATCTTGAAGAAGAAAATACTTCAATTCCATCCAAAAAACTATAAAACCATAACATATTACATAAACATACCCGAAATCTTTGTCAAAGAAACTTCTTAAAATTCTTCCAGGAATCCAATCATAGTCATGATTCACATTCAAACCACCAATTTTCTTCAAACACCAAGTTCTATATATATCTGAAAGCCTCTCTAGGGTATAGTTTTTCACAAGAACCTACATCAAGAATATCGGTTAGGGTAAAGGCAGATATTACATAAATAGGAACACCATAACATATATGCTAGTGAGATAGAGAACAGAAAGGTGTTTTTACAGATTTGTCCTCAAGGTGCTCAGCTAGAAGCTTTATGGTTTCAGGTGAAATGGATGATAAATCCAAAGATGCTACATCTGAAATTACTGCAACCACTTGTTTGCGTATACTTTCATCATCATCTGACAACTTGTCACTTAGGCAAGCTAACATGTTCAACCAAAACAATAACAGGGTTAAATGTGAAACATAGCAATGTAATAATTATCAAAGTACTTAGTTTTTTCTTGCATTTAGCCCTATGAGATATTAAATAACCTGAAGACTTACCAAGTAATTGAGGAGCTTCTGTTCTTAAAGGATCAGATAATAAACATAACTTGGCATATTCAACAACTGACATCCGGACTTGAACAACTTTATCATTAAATTTCTTCAAAAACTCCAAAAAGATTGGATGAAATGTCTGAGGGATGGAAGATCCTTTGATAGAAAAAAGGTCTCCCACCAGTTTGACTGCCTTTAAACGAAGGTCTATTTTATCTGTCTATAAAATATAAATACCAAAATTTAGCTTTACCTTTACTTGCAAAAAATGAACCAAATAAATATAACTTTAGCAAAGATATACAAAAAAATTATGTGACTACTGATTACCAGTAGCTCTCTTTTAAGGTTTGGGACAATTTTTGATAAGGCCTGAGGGGCACAACGGTAAATATCATAGATAACTTCATGGTAATCAATTTGAGGATTCGAAGAGCTGTGATCTCCTGACATTGATGATAAAATAAACTTCTTGATTCCAGGTTCAAGTATTCCAGCACTTTGCTTTATAACATTCATGGCAAGCATCCTTGCAGCTGCAGTTATATCCTATAATCAAGTTCAAAATTTCACCAATCAGATATCTTGTACATTTGACTAGTCAAAGAATACATCAACAAATAAACAATAAAAAGTATAAAAGAATCTTACTTTCTTATCACGGCCTAAAGTAGAGAGAATAATGGATAAAAGATCCTCCCCAATTTCCTCACTTTCTTCCAAAAGAACAGCCATGATTGTTTCCATTGCTGTGATAACAGTTTCATGATGCTCATCTCTGTAGGTAATAAAACACAAGTCAGGATATTATTGTGACACAATCATTCATTCCAGTTATTATAGGAGTTCAACATAAGTTATACAACTGACCTGGCAACAGTGAAAAATGTTTTGAACATTTCGTTGATTAAATCATCACATTCAAGATCCAACATCACAACAAATGATCTATACTTAGCAACAGTGTCCAACACAATTACTCTTTTCTCAAAAGATGGATCTTTAGTATCTCTTAACCCATTGAAGGTGCTTACATACAAATGAAAGATGTCCTTCAAAACATCATCATCATATGGTGCTTCAGGAGCTGTAATTCTGGTAATCTCACAAGTACAAATTGCAACAAGAAGTGAAACTTCTTTGTCTTCATGCTTTAGCAATTCTGGCTTGACTATAGCATTCAGAAGAGGCTGCATAGAGTCCAATAATGCTTTTGGTGGTGATTGATCCAACTCAGAGAGAGATTCTGTGGCTTGCTGTAATTAGACCATATCAATCCATTCACATAAAATTAGTCAGGAATTACATGAATTTATTATAGAAAGATGTTAATCACAGGAAAAAAAAGAGAGATTTTACAATAAATTGAACTGCTAAAACTATAGAGAAATTTAGTGTATAATCTTAATCCTTGGTTTTAACTTCTACAACGCTCTTGCATTTCTAGGGTTTGGGTTTTAGTAACACTAATTTAATATTATAGTTTGGTGCACCAATCTGCTTTTGATGCGCTTTGAATATTCCTAGTAGAACTTATGTCCCGTTCAAATTGAGCCCTAATTCTAACCACTTGAAGAAGCCCTCTTCTTGGGGAAAAACAAACGTTTTTTTCTCAATAACGATTCACAATAATGAACTTAAAAAGCTCTAAAACCCAGAGGAAATCATCATATCAGGAACCCATAAAGGAAAATCTGAAAATAGGAACTTTGAGGTGCAATTCGCGAGTATAAATGATAAAGTAATTACTTTTTCAAACCAACTATAAAAATTGCCGGTTCCTTCAAGCTGAACCCTAACTTCAAAGCAAAATACATACAAGATTTGCAAAAAAAACAAATGAACTTTCCCCAAGATGCATAATTTATTCAGCGAGTACTGAGCAATAAAGCTACTGAAACAAAGAAAAATCACTATCTGAAAACCGAAGAAAGTAAATTCCTTAAAAATTGAAACACTGCAAGTGAAAAACGCAAGTTTATTACCAACCGAAATTCAAAATGATAAGGGAACTGAACTAGAAAATGTAAAAACGAATAATTATACGAAGAACCCAGGATTAAGATTTTTCAGAAGTTCAAATTTGTGAGTGCAACGAGTGAGCAAGTACCGAAAGAAGCTTGATAAGATCATCTTTACTAGCGGGTGGGTTCTCGAGCTTGGATCCAACTTCCTTGAGCTGATTTTGAAGATTTTCAGCCATGTTTTTTTCTTCAGAACTCTGTTTGGCGTTTAAATTTGGTTTTTAAATCGCCATCTAGAAGACCTGTGAATGATGGAACGAAAAGGGGGGTTTCGAACCAGGATGCGAAACCAACGCACCTTTTAAGTCTTTAACTCGACTCTGCCTGAAGACTGAACTATGAAGTATGTGAATTTTTTAAACCCCGTTTTTTTGAGGACGACTTCAGAGCTATCTTGAATCTTGATAAATAATAAAATAATAATAAAATAAAAAAAAAGTTTTATACAAAAATATTGATAATAGAAATATGGTATAATAATTATAATATATATAAAAAGAGAAAAATAAAATAAAAAAGTTTTATACAAAAATATTGATGATAGAAATATGGTATAATAATTATAATATGATTGTTATTTATATTATAAAGGTGGAAGTAAGTATAATAAAAGTACATAATTAACATATTTTTTGTCGAATGATGGATTTTTGAAGGAAGTGGACATTAAATTTCTACTGTTTGAACTTTGAAGGAAATTAATGAACCCCTATAAGAGAATAAAAGTTATTACGAACAAAATGTAAAACATGTCCGAATTGTGATTTTGTTTGGATTTCAATAAATCAAATTAAATATTCTTTTATTTTTTTCCGATCCTCGTACTCAATTAAATAATGATATGTATCATTTTACTATAATAAAATCTCAATGAACGTTAAATCTTACGCATGTCACTATTTAATTGTATCCGAAAATTTGTAGGATCAAAAAATAAAATGATATTTAATTTCTCTAAATCAAATTCTTAGATTTAGAGGGTGTTTGGGATTTCTTTTTAATCATTTTTTTTTATTTTTAACTTTTTTAAAAAATTAAAAATTACTATAAGTTGCTTGGTAAATTGAAAAGATCTTTTAAAATCAATTTTTAGTTAATAATGAAAAATTGGCTGAAAGATAGAAATTCTTACTTTTTTATGACTTTTAGTTTTTAATAGTTAAAAATCATAAAAAGTAAGTCAAACACATTTTAAACACCATTTTTGAGAAAAAAAAAAGTTCTTTTACAAAATATCATTTTATAAAAATGACTTTTATCTTTAAAAAGCAATCTTAAACACACCCTTATTGTTACGATTCCACATGGCCAAATGAAAGTTTGATCGGTGGCTTTTAAGTCTAGATGTCTCTTCTTTTTTAAACTAACTTTTTGAGAATGAGTTTTATATTTAGGCTTATGGCATCATACGGCATAGTATGAGATGGGTTCATATCATTATCATCATTAATTAGGTCTTTTGATTTCGGTGTTTTAACATGTTTATTTGTATGTATTATAAATTGGTTTTTTTCATTTTTATTTTTATTATTTTAGAATCAAAAATGTATTTTTTTTTATTGGTGTGACACTCACGTTTATGTCTTTATATATGTTAAAGACTTCTATTTATTCATAAGGTTTTTTTGGAGAGATACAATTTTAAAATTTGCATATATCTTACATGAGATTAGAGTTGGCGTCCACATTCATGTAGTTTAACACATTCTTATATGACCTCGGCGAACGTCAATTTTTTATGAAGACAATTAGTATATCGTATATCGATGTGATCCAGTCTCTTATATCTATATTGGAGTATCAAGCATCCTAAAAACAATGTGGACTCATACATATATTTTACTAAAAAGATCATGAAATTCCTACAAATACATATTCAATAATGCATAAAAAATTATCATTTTTATAATTAAACTACATCTATGGTCAAACTGTCACAACTAACCTTTTTGTCTAGGAAATTCCATCCTCAAGTAAGCAATGACTATTGTCAGACTTGTGCTAGCACACCTAAGTGTACAATATGAGTTCCTAAAGAGCCATGAAGTGTTAGTATGCGAAATCTCTCCTAAATCCCTCAAAGTGTGTGAAATCTCTCCCAGATCTCTCCAAGTATGTGAAATCTCTCCCAAATCTCTCCAAGTATGTGAAATCTCTCCCAAATATCTCTAAATATGTGAACTTTCTCCAAGAATATGGAATCTCTCCCAAATCTCTCAAAGTATGTGAAATCTCTCCACATATCTCAAATCTCTCTGAATACCTTCCTCAATCGAAAACAACTCAAAAACCGGAAGAGGAAACCCCAAAAGGACCCTCTTGGTCCGGAACCTCTTGGTCCTGAACCTCTTGGTCCGGAACCCTCTTAGTGTGAAATACCTTCTAAGGAGCCAAGAGGAATTGTACTTCGGAAACCATGTGCTTCGGACCCTCTGATGGACTAGAGAGAAGAATCTCTTCCGGAAACCCTTGAATCCACTCCGGAAATTAGAAGTTGCTCCAGATATTCTCGCATCGCTTCAGAATCCTTAGCCTGCCTCGCACCTCGGTCCGGACTGATGGTTGTACTCCGGATTTCGCCTGACCATCGGATCCGAGAAGAAACCTCTGAACCCCGTATGTGGACTTCGGAACTAGGAAAAAAGCTTCGGAAATTGCCCAGCACCTCCGGAACCCCCTTGCCAACCATCTCGGACCCGCGCAGACCTAACCTCCCCTCCGGAATTTGAACTATAGCTTCGGATTTCACCTTATGACTCGGGAATTCATCCTTTAGCTCCAGATTTTTGATTATTTCGGACCTTTTCTCCATTTTGGGGTATTTTGAGGTCGGGAATCCCACCAAACTCATGTTTTTCTTAACTAAGACCCCTAAAACTCCTATTTTATGCTAAAATGAATTATTTTAAGCATAGTTACATAAAATAAAAGGTTTAGAATTTAGGAAAACCTTATCCTAAATCAAGAAAAGGACAAGGAAGTTGACTTTGTGATTTAATGAAATCCTCATTTCCCATGCAAATCACAGTATCCCATGCTTTACCCACCAAATATCCATGCATGGACCATCAGATTCCCATGCACCAAAGATTCCCTCCCTTTTCTTACTCTTAAGAACGACAGTAGAAGGAAATGTGGACTTTTTTGTTGGATTAGTGTCTAAGTCCATAACTATTTTGGTATGTACTTGACCCGATGGTGCATGGTCCTTTTGGGTTGCCTTCACCAAAGCAACTTGATTGGAGAAATAAATAAAGAGAGAGAGGTTATTATGATTTATTAATATGTTATAAGAATAATATATTAAAGGAGAAATCATATTTGCTTAATTAATATTGGTCAATAATTAATTAGGAATTAATTTTGTGATCAAGTGTAATTAATTAAACTAGAGGGGCTGAATTGTAATTATGTGCTAGTTACAAAATATGGTAATGGTTATCCTAAATATGGGTTGAACAAATTCAAGGAGATAAGGATCCTTGAAATCGTCCAAAGGATAAAGGATAAGGGTTTTCAAGGCTTATCTTATGGTTGCTTTATGGATAAGCAACTAGATAAGGATAATGACTGAAACCCTATCTCTACACCTATATAAAGACCCTAAGGCCTTAGAATTCGTGTACTTGTTCCCAAGGAGTCCTAAGGACGAATTCTAACCTCTTCCTCTCTCTTTATACCTTCTCCATTTGCTCTTGGTGTTTGTAAGCCATTAGAGGAGTGACACTTGTGACTCTAAGCATTCCAAAGTCAATTCAAGGAGATTAGGATTGTTATTGCTATATAACAATCAAGGTATGTTCTTAAACCCATTCATATGTTAATATGATTATTTAATGCTAGAATTAGGGTTTATAGTCTTGGATTCAAAGCATGTACAATAGAGAAACCTAGATCCAAGCATTAGGGTTTGTATGAGCACATAGGATGTCTTATGACCAAAACCCATCAGTGGTATCAGAGCCATTGGTTTGGTTTCAATTGTATGAACTTGATATATTAGGGTTTATTGCCAATAAACCCTAAGAGGCTAGGGTTTTTGAGATTAGGGTTTGCAAACCCTAATTTGCAAGAGTTTGAATAAGATCTTCAAATCCTTTCCTTAAACCCTTAAATTTCGAAATCTAGGGTTTGTTATAATCCCTTGATTTTCGAAATTTGCCTCCTCCCCAAGATAAGATCCTAATTTTTAGGGATTTGGATTATCCCATATCTTGTAATTATCCTCTAATTGTTATATATGGTAATTCAAGATCTTGCATTATCCATCCATATTTTCGAAATCTATATAGATATTTAAGGGATTAGGATAACTTAAATGTCTAAATGGTAATTATCCTCATTATTTAGATAATCCCTTATGATTTAATAATTAAATTAATAGTCTAATTCAAGATAATTATTAAATCAAGAGTTTTAATATTTAAAATTTTAATTTAAATGTCATAAATTCGAAATTTTAAGATAGATTAAAACTAAATTGTTTTGAAATGTTTCAAAACTTGCCCTCAAGTTTTGGAATTTAAAAGTTGATTAAAAGTTTAATTAGGAATGTTAAATTCTAAAACCCTAGTAATGTTTTGAAAAGTTCAAATCACACCCTTATGGTTTTATTAATCAATTAAGGTGTATAATTAAAAGAAGTTTAATAAATCCATAAAAGTTTAGGTTTACAATTTAATTGAATTAAAAGTATAATTGTTAAATTTGATCACCTAATATTTTAAAAGTGTAAAATGCACCCTATACTATATATAACATTAAAAGTCTAACATTATATATATGTATGAGTAAAAGTCAGTCTTACCGTTAGTAGGCCTCATTCACGAAGCTGGTCTATAAGGGGTGTTTAAGGAAATTGCCTATAAAATGGCGATTGAATGGGTATCCACTCTTACCCACCGCACTCTTGACTAGTGGAGGGTCGTTAGCCGAACGGGTAGGATAGGACGAAACCTTCCATTATAAGTATAATGAAATACAAAGTAACTAAATGTTTTTCTAATTCCCAATCTTAGTTACTTAGGCAAAAGTGAATTGATGCAATTCCATGAAATTACACTTTGTGCCCTTGCGAAGACGTTAGTGGAGCGTGTGTGGTTTACCGGCACACTAAATGGTTCTAAGCAAAGGTAGCAAAGGGTGACTCAATGTTTGTCATAGTTCGGTGGAGCGTGTGTGGTTTACCGGCACATCGAATAGGTGATTGTAACATGTGAGGGCACCATGTAAGTTTGCATGGTTATTCACACCCGCTTTGTGATCCTCGGCATCCCAGTCACAAACAAGAGGGGCATATCGAGATTTAAACATGCCATTGAAAGTTCAATGAATCTCAAAGGATCTAGGAGTTTTCATAGATTTAA